TCAACCAGGGTACCTTCAGGAGTGCTGCCTTGTCTTTTGAGTAAACCTGCACTGGAGACAAAATGTGGAAAACACAGATAAATGGGGAGCAGTGAAAAGGAGAAACAAATAAGCAGAATGTGATGGAATTTCTTCTAAGTATTTCTTAGCCACATTTCCCATCCAGGCTGCATCCAGTACATGTCCTAGAGTGAAGCGGGTGGCAGAATCCCAACACTGAAAGCTACTCTTGGCTTTAGTGCTTTCCCTTGGTGCTTCCAGGAGCAGGAGACAGAAACGGTCTTTGACTGCTCTGCACAGAGCTGGGGGTGCTGCAGTGGGCACTGGCAATTCTCCACACTCTTTTCTACAGCTTGCTTACTGTGCCCAGGGGAGAAGGGCTTGTTATTCCTCTCCGGATGCTGGGATGTCTGATGCAGAGAGCAGAGACCAGTCTCAAATGTATTCCGTTCACGTGAGCTCTGTATTTCAGACCTGGCAAGAAGCAGCTCAGCTGGCCCTGATAACCTCCACCAGCTCACAGGACCTGCAGACCAAGCTTTCATGAATTGCTGAGTGTTGCCTTAATTTTAAATTTCCTCATCTTATAACTCATCAGGGAGAAAAGGAAGGAAATCTCATCAACTCTTTTCTCTAGAAATGTAGATTAAAGAGGAGATGACAGTATGTTTTAATTTTTTAAAAGCTCTCTCAAGCAAAATGAATATTTGCTTTGTGCCTGAAAGCATCCATTTTCTGTGCCATAACTTCTAGGCTCTGTTATAAACTGTCCTTCAGTTTCTAGACATTCCTTAGGGATATTCTGCTCCCTGGCAACATGTCACTTACAAGGACTGGCTTCCACAGACCTTGAGAGGCTCCTGGGAGGGCACGTGGGGGAGTCTCCAGGAGGACAAGGGAACCTGGCTCCAAACTGCTGTGGAGGGAAGTATCTCAGCACCAGGCTTTAGTGCTGCCTCTTTCATTGCATGGGACATAGGGAGCAGCAGACACAAGAGCAGACTTTTTGCTTGATTGTTCACTGCGCTTATCTCATGAAATATCCATGACCATAAAACAAGCTGGGCGTTGCTCAGCCGAGTCATATGGAGAGCAAGGAACTAAATGTATGATGCTTGGTTGTCAGATGGCAGGACAGCACTGGACAGCAGTCCAAAAGACAATGACTTTTGAGTCACTAAGTTCCTCACATCATGTGCATCCTTACCACTTGCACAGGAAAAAGACAAAAACACAGTGGCTAAGTTCAAGTTGGGTAGGATAACCAGTATCCAAGCTGCCTATTCTGTTCTTTGCTGCTTACACTTATGCAGCCTCCCAGGGAGGCTGGGATCTGAGCATGTGAGCTTGTGGCTTTATTTCATTTCCTACTGACAGGTGACAGTGGCTCTCGCAAGACAATCTTTACAAGAGGAAACCTGTAGATGTGAGCCTTCAGCTTAACCCCAGCCACCATTCCTACAGGATTTCTAACTGTGCCTTCCCTTTGGCCATCAGCTCTTGGCAGAGTGAGCAGCTGCATGGTAGCAGTGGAGGCTGGTCCAAAGACCCCTTGTGATCTCCTGCTGTTGGCATGTGCTCACCGGCACAACTCTAGGGATGTATTTGTGCCAAGAGCTGGGACGGGCTGCACTTGCTGTCACTGCATCTAGTGCTACCAGGACAGGTATCCAACTCCCCCAGCTATGCTGCTGGAAGGAGCACCGCAGCAGCTTCTTGGAGCCTGAGTGTTAGCAGGTGGGTTTTAGAGATAGCAGCTTGCTGGCTAGCAAATGATCCATGCCAGACAGGTGGAGCATGGTTTGTTACTGCCAGCAGTGGGAAGGAGAACACATAAATAACACAAAGTGTTGAACAGTTGCTTTGTTTACTACTCCAGTATCTCTGGCTACTGCCAAGCAGAAATCAACCGTAATGCATTTGATGCTGGGTGGCAACAATATTTAGATCTCAGTAGAAATGCATTTCTCCTTCAAAGATGGAAAAGTGCTGTCAGATGAATGCTAACCTGGCTGAGAGGTATATTTGAGCAGCCATCTGGGCCTGCCAGACCTTGTTTTATATATATGCTTATTGATAGTCTTCTCTTCTGATTGTACAGCCTTCAAACTAGGTGCCTGGCAGTAACCACCTATTTCAGAGGGCATGCAAACGATGTTCTGTCCTGCTTGCCATTCAGTGTACCTTAACGGAGCTGTCCACATGAAAGCTTCTATTTCCAGCTTTCTCTTTGGCTGATTACTGATGTGCATATTATAGCACTGTACCTCAGCAACACTAGAGGAATGATGGCAGCAGTCACATTAACCATTCCCCATGTGCATAATCAGCTACACGCCAGTTTCATGTGGCTCTGCTAAGAGTCTGGCAGTGGCTTTGGGGACTCACAGATGCCATCTCAAAACAATTAAATACTGAGGAATGTCATTGCTGAAAGACTCGTAACAGCAATACATAGAGAAGGCAGAAATGCACAAACACCTTCCAAATTGGAAATCTGTTTATGACCTTTTTCTGGCTTCATTAGCAGTACTGCTGTGCAGTTGTATGCTAACTGTTATGGATGGCCAGTGCACCTGCTCATTTCCCTGCTTGACTCTGAGCACAACCAGTAGTTGCAAGGCCCGTGGAAGAGCAACCAAGCAGAGCAAACAGCAATTGCTCTAGATGAGTGGGTTGGTGTAATTTCATATTTGGTCTTTGGTCGCAGAGATGCAGTGATATCAAGCATTGGAACAGCTGCCCAGGACAGTGGTAGAGTCCTCATTCCTGGAGGTATTAAAGAGGTGGGTGGATGTGGCACTTCACAACATGGTTTGGTCCAGGATGATGGCTGGACTTGGTGATTTTGCAGGTCTTTTCCTACATAGATTATTCTGTGATTCTTTTTCTTTCTTTCTTTTTTTTTTTTTTTTTTTTTTTTTTCCCCAGCATGATAGCCTTCATGCATAGCAGAGGAGGAAATGAAACACCATGCAAACTGCAAGCAGGAGCAGCATTTGTGAAGGGAATAGCTGATTTCCCTAGAAGAGGGCTAAGGAGTGACTGGGGAGATGGCATACTACAGTCACTCATTCTTAGCTGAGGAGAAACATGAGGTTTTGGCAGAAACCCCAAAAACACTCTTGTACTAAAAGGCAGCAGCAATCTGGCAGGTATGCCCTCGTGGATACTGCCGATGGCTTCAATCCAGTCTCTTTAACAATCTCTCCAACAATCTCTTCCTCAATGGTGCCCATCGGCCCCCAAGATGCATCAAAGCAAACTCTGGAAGTGCAGGTTTCCATGGAGAATGTATTATGCTTTCTCCTGGCAACCCTTCACTAGGCAACAAAGGGAGCCAGTGACTGTGCGTGCAGAATGGGGCTGGATGTGGCCCATTAGTAAGAAGCTGGAAATGGGGTCTCATGCATGTGCACCCATAGCCTGGGGTAGAGGAGGGCCTCAGGGATGACAGTTAACTGGTCCCTTACTGCACAGTGGCTCTGTCTCACCTCACCTTCAGTCCCAGCAGCCCTGGGGAGTGCCTGCTCAAAACATCTAGCTTTGCTTCTACAGCTTCCGATATTTTGGAAGTTTTTTTTTCAATCAAAAGCCGTTGAAGGCACTATCCTCTCTCCTGCTGACCCATCATTCTGATTATACCAAGTCTCCACTCTCACATTTAGGTTTTGTTGCTCTTGTTGTTGTTTGCTGCAAATATGCTGTGCTGTTTCTTTTTTGCACATCTGAAGTTCCTAGCCAAGAGGAGCCAAAGCAGTGGAATGTATTTATTTGGCATTGATGCTACGATAGGAAAGTATACATTGGAGAATAACTGTAAATAATAGAGATTTATGGGCAAAACAACCCAGGCAAAAAATAGTGTCTGTGTTGCCAGTTGTTAGAAATAATCAGTCTTGCTAAAACAAATGAACTAGACTGAGATTTTGCTATTATCCAAAGATAGGAAAGCCCTAATTGAAATCACATCTCTGAATTTTATGTCTGCTCCTATTAGATTGCACTATTTATCCTTCAGTGGAGCAGACAGCCTACCCTAGAACAGTCCGTTATCAGCCTGCATCGCTGTTCCTCCCAGTGGCACTACTGTTCACACATCAATGACTGTTACTGGTTTAAATCTGTTCTACTGCCAAGGCATTCACTTGACACTCACGAAAAAAAAATGGGCCAAATAAAGTCATAAATGACAGTATGCCCAAATAATTGCCTTACCTGCTTTCAGACCTGAGGTGACAGGATTTTTCCCTACCCTGGAACAGCAAAGAAATAGCTGATAACAGCACACAGTTAGAAGCACTATGGTGCAAAACAGGTCAGGACTGTGTTCCATGGGAGTGCAGCAGGGCACGGAAAGCTCAGTGCTGGCAGAGCCCTGGGAATAGAGCTTCTCCCACCTTTGCTCCCTGTGCAGGGAGGAATGCATGGAAAACAACTGGTTGTTTTCAGCCAGTCACTCCTTCCTTTCAACCTGAGAAAATAATGGTTGAGAGCAGATGGAAACACTTTTAAGGAGGGTCAGAGTGATACAAAGTACCCTAAAATCATACAGAGTCAGTTCACAAGTTCTTTATATTTTATTACTCCATGGAACGTGCAGGAGTGAGCCAGGAATGGGCCTTTGGGACTGTGTGTCACTTTTCTTCCTTCTGTCTCCTGCAGCCCACGCAATGCACTAAGTGCACACAGCCTGATCTTCACCATCAGGCAGCCCTGCCACAAGGCTTAGGTGCTACGCAGCCCTTCTGCGTGGCAAATCTCATCTCCACAAAGCAGCGCCCAGCAAGGAACACGGCCAAGGCACGACGCCGGCCACCAGCACCGCCCCAGCCCAGTAGCGAACAAGATGGCGGCTCTCCTCCAATACCCGTCGGCGAACAAGATGGCGGCGCGAAGCCCCGGCCCGCCGCCTGGTGGCCCCGCCCCATCCACGTGACCGCCTGTCGCTGGAGAAAGCCCCATGCCGAGGTCGGGCATTCGGTGGGGTCCTGCGTAGCGCTGCTAGCTTGGGGCTGTCCAAAATCTGCCTGTCGGGAGGCTGATAGTGTAGCGGCTTGTGGGCAGGGCGGGGAGGAGAATTTCAGCGTGGCTTCAGCCTGAAAATAGGCGTTACTTTCCAGTATTCCTCTCTGGTTTTTCCATCGCGAGCAGTTCTCTCATCTTCCTCGCTTACCCATCAGGCAGAGCATAGGACAGCTAAGTACGGTGGCCGGCGGCGGGGGCGGGAAGCCACCATGGCGGCGGCGGTGGTGGCGGCGGCCGGCCGGGCGTGCGCCTATGGTGTCGTGCGAGCGGCCTGGCGAGGTGCGAGGGGGTTAACGTGTCTGCGCCTATGGGAGGCCGAGCTGCCGGCCGGGGGGCGGCTAAGGAACCGGCACGGGGACGGTGCGGCTCTGGTTGTCCGTGCGCCTGTGTGGGGGGAGCCCAGTTGCTCTCACAGGTATTCGTGATAAATCCTGTAGAGCTTGCTCTGCAATTGGAGCCTTTGGCCGGATGGCTGGCGATTCGGAGATGCGTAATTCTGCTCTAGGTTCTGCGCTGCGTTTCGCTCTGCAGGAGTGTCGTGCTTCTCGTCAGATGTTAACGCCGTTACGCAGCGCTGTTAAGCAGCGAGCGCTGCCGGGGCTTTGGGAAGCGAAAGCGAAGCGGTGTGGTGCAGAGGCAGCGCCGTGCTGGGGGTACTCGTGCTTTTTGTGTTGCTGAAGGCCCTTCGTCTCTGTCACTGCTGCGTACCCTACAGCAGCTCTGTTTCTATTTGCCCAAGCTGCTCTGGCCTGTGGCAGAGCCCTGGGGGCAGTTTTTCCCCGTCTCGTTGTTATCCTTAAGGCTTGGCAGCAGTGAATCCCGGTACTGCTTGGTGGATCCTCCAGTTGGCAGGAGTGAGAGGTTCTCATTTCCCGCCCTTTGTGTTCTTTAGGATTCCTTAGGGGCTGCAATAATGTATCTCCATAGAGTTTAGCAGCCAACGCCATGCATGCAGACAGCCTTAAAGGGAAATCTTAAAAGAGTCCTAATGTAAAGTATATACATACTATGGGGTATTTATGTGAGGGGGAATCTCTTGTATTGGAGGCTACCTTGACTCCCACCTTTTGTCTTTCTGATTCTTTCTGTTTTCCCTTTTCTCCCAAAGGGACTTCTATCACTACAGTCAATGTATGGTATCAGCCACAAATCCTGCTAATAAATTTTTACAAACTGCTGTCAGAACTCTTGGTACAACTTAAGTAGCTTGATGCACTGAAGTCCTAGGCAGGGCTGTCCTACAGGGAAAGCTTCTGAATAATAAATATTGCTGGAGACTGAGGTGAGAAGAAAGACCAGAGTTATTTCCTAAAAATATATTCAAGTCTGGTGTTAAAACACTTGGAAGCTGAATGTGTTGGGTTGATTGTGTTGTGATTTTTTGTTTGTTTGTTTGTTTTTTTACTTTTGGCAGACTTCCCTTCTTTCTCCCCTGCTTTCAGAACCAAAAGGGTGTTTGTTAGTATTTATTTATTTTTTTTCAGCCTCCAGGAGCTTCTTTATCTTCCTTTTCTCTGTTTCTAAAAGGAACAGCTAAGTAGTTAATGCATTCCTGGTCTCCTTCTTTGGGTAACATATAATGAAGTGATGTTCGTTCTTTAGCCAAATATCAATTACAGATTTCATGTTCAAGGATGTTTGAAAGCAATTTTTGCATACAAAATTTTCCAAAGTAGATAAAGGGTTTTTGTTTTTGTTTTTTTTGAGAATCACTTAGTGCAGAGATTTCATTACTGTGTAGGACTTTGTTGAGCTCTTGTGAGATGATGTGAGAAAATAGTAATAACTCCAAAATATTTTCCCATTGGAGATTATTTGTATGAATGTGTAATTTCTGTGCGTAACAGTTTCATTTGAATAAAAAGCAGCAAGCAAAATATAAAACAGAAAAACTCCGTGCAAGAAGTTCATTGCCCGTTAGAGATTAACTTGACAGCACTTGATATCTTCAGAAATGCAATTTGTAATTTAAAAATAGAACATACCTCTGTTTTTTTTTTAACATTTTTTTTTTTTTTTTAAGAGTGATATGATTACTTCAGTCTAGAGCCTCCCATGTGTATGCTTGTACCCGTATTCAGGCAATTTCTGCAAAGTTCTAATTATAACCCTGCCATAACCATTTCAATAGCTGTTTTTTTAATAGGCTTTCTTTTGTGTGTGTGGTTGGTTGTTTTTTTATTATTTAACAGAGCAGTTCTCACTGCTGAAACCAACTTCTTGCAGTGTTTCTTTCTCTCAAGTACAGAACTAAGAACAGTTCTCTGTATTTAACTCCTGTGGAAAATAATTACAGAAGCAGAGGGGTTTACTAAATAGCTGCCATTTGTTTAAGAAAAAAAAAAAAAGCTGGGCTCAGGTTTACTGAACTGTGCTTTCATAAAGAAAATGCATGGGTTTTCAGGCTGCTTGCTGCCTTTCAGGGTGTGGGTAATGTAGAAATCAAATGCAGTGCATGCCAGTTTGGGGCATTGAGCATGGGGAAAGGGATTGTGCACTGTGTGTAAGTCTGTGAAAGGTGATTTAACCAACGTGTCACTTCAATGGAGGTTAACAAGGTTTGGATGAAATAGGCCATCAACTTACTTGTATTGTGGTTGTTGTGTAGGAAATGGAGGAAGTGGTGCATTAACTGCCTGTGTGTGGGTACCACAGTACTGTTTGACTGAGATAGAATCGTAGAATTTTTAACATTGGAAATGACCTCTAAGATCATCTACTGATGTTTTAAACTGCTTACCTTCCATAAATATTTTTCTTTGCTCTGTTTTTAGAGTGTTTATTCCCTTTGTAGCAGCGTGTGCACAGAGGTATGTGGTAATGCTTCCTTAAAGACCAGCACTCAGGGTTTCATGCTTTGGGAATCGTGGTGGTTTCTTGTGGGTGCATTTTTATTTTTATTTTTAAAATTTTTTTTCCAGCATCTTCCTGCTTCTCTTGTCCTGTTGCACTTTGGACCAAACCAGTTATATATCCGAGCATCTAGAGTAATGTAACACAGCTCTTAGGATTTGTTAGACATAGAAGCTGGATTTCAGCTCAGCTGGAATTCTCATGCTTCCAGTCTTCAAAGTGTAAGTTTGTAATGTATGGTATTTTAAAAAAGACTTAATCGTTAAAGAAAATGTTGCTAGGAGATTTTCTCTTTGATTTCAGAGAAACAGGGATCTCACCCTGGATTTCAAGAGCTTGTTTTACAAATCATAATTGTTGTAGCGCTTCTATAAAACTACTTTGAATCTTTACGCTTCTTGAGATCAGTTGGAGATGTGATCTCTTTAATGTAACACTGGTGTTTATTTGGCTTTGGTTTTTTGACATCTGACCTCTTCTGTACCTTGACCACTGCCAGAAATGTATTTCTGCAGCAGTTGATGTGATTTTACTGCCTAGTGATTCTTCTCTGTTGTCATTTTGTTCTGATTCTGTGGTGTCTGTAGGCTTTTTCTTGTATTGCTATCAGAATTTTAGAAGGTGATGGTATTTAAGTTATGGAACTCTTTTTGGCCAATTTTGTTTCTGTATTTTTTGTGTGGTGCTGTGTGGAGCCGGGAGTTGGACTCAGTGAATCTTATGGGTCCCTTCCAACTCGGGATATCCTGAGTTTGGATTTGTTCTGTTTTCTGAGAGGCTCAGGAGAGTGATCCAGTTGATGCATTCTGCATCGTTCCCAACTGGCTTTTTAGTGGAGTCCCTCCCCACAGGCTTCTAAAGAGTTGAGGGATGTGAGAGGTGATTCGGGTGTGGTTAAGTAGTTGGCTGAAAGGAGAAGTGGAGCTCCACAAACATCTGTGTTCATGAGCACTCAAGGCATGTGAGTGATACAGTTATAGTACTTCACATGCTGTATTTATGTCTTGCTGTTGACATGTTCTAGAACATTATTGCAAGTTCTGTTACCAAGACAATTTATACCTTATGAGGGTGCAGTTTCACTCTATCAGCAATTTGTTAGAAGCCTTCTAGCTTCCTTCTCTCTGTGACACTTCCTATTATAGTGGTCCCACCCCACCTCCATCTGCACTTAGTGCTTCAAGGTTCACATCTGATTCCCTTTAGAAACTAAATCATAGGAGTAAATGTTACTGGGGGGTTGTTTGTGTTTGTGTGGTTTGTGTACTTGAGGGAAATGCTGTTTTCAAATTAAAATGTCCTAAACAGCTCTTTTCTGTTTTTATCCCCAGGGTTTGCTTCTGTACCAGTGAAAGGGAATTGCTGTTCCTATTCTAGCTTGGCATGGTCTCTCCAGGTGCGGTGTTCCATCTCTGTCCCCCAGAATGTGACAGTACAGCAATGCAGGAAGAGCAGTTTCTTCAATACATGTAAGTTCTTGAATTGGATTAAAATTACTGTCTGTAGCAAACAGAAAGAAAGATGAGTTTGCTTTGGGAAGCTCACAAAAATCTATCTTTAGTAATTTTTTTAATCTATTCTACTTGCATACCTCATAAGATTATAGTTGCAACTACATTTCTTGATGGAACTGCGTGCACAAAATTCATTTTAATAGCAAGCAAGTAGTTGATTTGCATCACAATGAATCCATTCAAAGTATTTAATTGTATGGGAGGGAAAGACACCTTCCCCTCTATTTCTTAGTCTTTTACTGACAGCATAAACTATGTGTTTATTTTCCAAATGGTTTTTGAGCCACAGACAAGATGTACTATTTAAGCTGTTCTGTCTCAAAAATGAAATAATTAAAACACAATAACATGCTTAACAGAAACTGTTGATAATGTCTTGCTAATTGTCAGCTCAGCTACAGTATTGTCCTCCAATCCTGAAAGGAATTAAATGTGTGGTTGATATAACTGAGGAATGATGGATGTGAACCTATTTTGTGGTTCCTTGTCTGTGGCATTTTCCCACTGCAGAAAAGGGGAAATAGTAAGAATCTGTGGATGAGATAACTGAAGTTTTAGAGTCACATTGGCACTTTATAACTTATAAACTACAAGAACAATGGTGTTTTCCAAACTTTATGACATAAATGCAATAGAGTCGTGTATGTATTTTAAATATAAAAGGTTTAAGTGATCATGCTGTTGGACTTTTCTTCTTCAGTATATTTTAGCTGTTGGTGGATTTTTTTTTTTCCCAAGCAGATGATAGTAGGAGGGGCTTGAAAGACCTGCTAAAGGCTGCAGTGTGGAGGCTCATGGGGAAGGTTTTCTAAGGATGCCAACTGCTTAGAGCTTAGGCACTAATGGCAAGATAAAACTATCTGTGAAGCTAAACACTCTTGTTTTCATAGACTCACAGGATGGCTCAGGTTGGAGAGGACCCTAAAGCCCCAACCCCTGGCTGCGGGATGGGCTGCTCCCCCCCCTTCCCCAGCTCAGACTGCCCAGGGCTCCATCCAACATGGCCTGGAGCCCCTCCAGGGATGGGGAACCCACAGCTTCTCTGGACAAATAATTTTGTGAATCTTAAACTCTACAAGTTATTTCCCTGTGATTATTTGTAGGGTAGATGTTACCCTAATTTATGTTTGTATTCATAACATCTAGATGAGGTCTGTTTTATGAGAAATTTTGCCAACTGCCTTTTTGGTGACTTAATTAAAAGCATTTATTGTAATGGCATCGTTATTGTTTGACTTAATAAAATTTTAAGGAAGTTATATTTAGGCAAGCTACATAAAACTGAACTTTAATAAGATGTAAAAAAATGGAATAATCAAAGTGTACTTCTTTTATGTATTCAGCAGAGATGGAAGCTGGAATACTGAGAGTTTTCTGTTTCAAAGTATGGTTGTTTTAAGAACAGTTTTTATTCAAGAGGTCAGTCTGTAGGGTTCTTTGCTTCTAAGAACCAGACTGGATAAAATCATATTATGCTATCATTTGGAAGTAATGTGCTACCTTACTTTGTAGGCTCTTTTGTTAGAAAGGCAGGTTACAAATGTGGGTTGAGCATGATAAAATAGTACTTGGTGCTTAAAAACAGTTTTATGCATTTTTCAAAGCAATCGGGAAGGCTGGATAAATGACTTGATCCCATAGGAACCTAGAGAATATAGTAATTGCTTTTTCTTTGTACAATTCATCATGCAATTTGTTAGGAAGCATAACATTTTATACTATTGATTTCAAACATGAGCCAAATCTGCTGAGTTCCCATATAACTAAGATAATGATAGATGAGGTGTACAATGCTAATCTTGGCATTACGATTACTCTCAAATTTTCTGTTCTTTTTCTGCTTAGATGCGTGCAGTGGAAAGATAAGCCACTTAGTTAAAACAGCAGCAAAACTTTGTGCAATTCATTTATTCAATTTATGAATGTAGATGTAAGTCTTAAGACCTGTTGTTTTCTAACTCTGTCTATACTTGGCTTAGGATACATCATCAACCTGTTTTATTTCGTGCACCATTTCCTGAAACTCATTTGGGATCATCTATTCCTGGAATTGAAAAGATGGGTATCAGGAACAGCTGTATCTGGCACAGAGTTGGGCTTTGTAAGTTTTTGGAAGGAAAGTGCTGAGGGAAGCAATGGACAGTGGAAGTTCTGTGTGAACATAAAGAAACACTACTGTGGTGGAGATTGAGAACTGGCGTAGGTTTTCCAGGGAGCCTGTGGAGTCTCTATACTTGGAGATGTTCGGAAGCTGCCTAGGCAACTGAATCTGGGCAGCCCTTCTTGAGCAGGGAGCTCCAGAGGTGCCTTCCAACCTCAGCCATCCTGTGAGTCCACGTGGGGTTGCTGCAAAGCGCTGACTCAAATCTGAGGGCATCGGGTGGGTGGGAAGCTCTGGGACCTTACTGATCTGAAGAGCTGACTAGAATGGGGCTCCAAGGATCCTGTTTACTCTAAGCGTGGAACAGAGATCAGTTGAGCTTAGCTACTAGATCCTTCTTGACATGGTTTTGTGTTCTGCTGTGGTGGTGTAACTGAAGAATTGGTAAAAGGAAAACAACACTTCCTTGTCAAGTGCAGAGTACTTTGAAGAGTTGCCCTAGTGGCTGTTGATACACCCTAGCTGGATGCATGAATTTGCTCTGCCATGAATTGACAATATGTGGCTCTCTGCATACTTCCTTTTAGTAGCATCTGTGAGAAACATTGACTTTTCATGCTGTTCAATCTCCTTGCACACTAACTACTGCATCTCTGTCCCTCTTTTTACAGGTTCCATCAGGGTTTTGGAAACATGCCTTTATATGTTCCTTTGTACTTCTCTGAAGCATCAATCATTCTTTTCTAGATTCTCTAGAAATACTTTTAAGCCAAGAAGGTTGTTTTTGGTTTTCCTGCCTGGTTTGGTTTTGTTTTGTTTCTGTGGAAGGCTGCTGGTTTTAGAGCAGCTGTTCTTGCTGAGTTGTTTCCACTTTCTTTTCTCCATGGTAATTAACAGCTGGAGTTGAATAGTTCAACATCTTCAAAATTCAAATGAAGTATGATATTAACAGTATAAATCACATTATGGCACTCATATCCTTTAGTAATGCAGTTGTTTCACAAGGGTGGTAACATGAAATGATCGTATCTGCATTTTTAATGCAAAATATAATTTTCAAATGAAATGTCAAATGACAGTTCTTCGTGACTGAGAAATAGATGGTACTTTTGTGTCTCATTAGTGAAGGCTTGCTTCTCTTCAATCATACTCTTAAAAGTGTTGACATGCTCTTGCTAGCAGGGTCACCTGTACCCTTCAACTTGATCTTTAATTTAACTCATTTAAATAGGAGGAATTGCAGTTATCCTAGGCAGTCTGTGATCCTGATCCGTATAGCTGGCTGCTGCACTTTGAAAGGGGCATACGCTGGGATTTGTTTTTGTTTAGTGACGGATTTCAGTGAGTTTGTGATGAAGTAATTAAAATGCTCTCGTTATTTCAGGATTAAATTCTGCCCATCTCCCCCCTTTCCACCCACCCCACTATGAAAAGCAATTATGTTTGTATTTACTTAACGATTTCATGCGCTTAGTTAAAAACAGAAGGACCTGATCTTTCTTTCAGATGATGATTGGAAAATGAATACCTTCCTCTGAAAAGCCATATCTCAACAGACCTGGCATAACAGATAGTCTTGCTTGTGCCTGTTACCGTCCAGCTTTTGTGTGAGAAGATAGAGCAGTTTTTTTTTCCCTACCTCTCATTACATTTACGTGCTCTTATGAGCAGGCAGGCAGACTGAAGAGTGTATATGTGGGTTGGAAATGACCTTCAAGATCACAAAGTCTGACCATCAACGAACCATGCCCCTTTGTGCCACATCTGCACGTCTCCTAAATCCCCCCAGGGATGGAAACACCACTACGTTCCTTAGCAGCCTGTTCCAGTGCTTGCCTGCCTTCTCCTTGAAAAAATTCTTCCAAATGTCCACCTAAACCTCCCCAGTGCAACTTCAGGGCTTTAAATTCCAATAGTTCTGGCTTTTTCTGGGCAGGTGTTTGAGCTTGTAGTTGTTGAAAAACATGGATTAAAAAGTGCTGTATATGTCATGGGAGAAGTATGTATCTGTCTGAGGAAAATGTGAAGTAAAGACCTTTACACTACAGAATTGAGTTGAAATACATAAGCTGCCATTTCTGAAGGCAGCAGAGGCACACAGATGTGTCATGAATACTGAAAGTAATTGTCCCCCATCATCCAAACCTTTTGGCAATAACAGTAAGCAAAATTTCTCCAAAATCTGTATCCAAGAGTGTACGAGACTAAAGATCTTTTATTTGAAGCTGCAGTTGTACCACAATTATGCTTTCCCTGTCAGTGTTAATTCCATTAGTTACTGTTGGGAAAAAATGAAAAGAACTTAATTTCTCTGTTGCTAGGTGATGTTTCCGTATAGGTTAGAATACAGAGTAAGGAACACGACTATCTTTCAGAGCTCATAGAATAGATTGTAGCAATGAAGAGGGAATCATATTTAGACCAACTATATAAAATTATACTCACAGTAACATGCGTTGTCTTTGGAGACTCTCCTTACTGCAAGCAATTAGGCTCTGTATAAATCTCTGCATTTGTGTTCTTTATTGGATGCATCAGTTCCTGAAAGCCTACGTGTTAATTAAATTTGATATTAAATTTTCCCAGTCCTATGTGAGTTGTCTTCAGATTAAGTAGTTCATTTTTCTGCCTTGCCTACTTGAAAACCAAAGAGGAAAAAAGATTGTTTTTCAGTTTTTAATTTTTTTTATTTAATGAAGTATGACCACTCAGATAAACAACTAATGAGTTACCACTTGTCACTGTCATAGCAGCATATGGAGAGTTTTGTTGTTTCCGCATTGAGGATGTCAAGATCTCCAAAATACACATTGCTCTGTTTTATTTCCTTTTGTGAGGGCGATGCCTCATGTATTTATGTGTATGTTGAAGACACGTGAAGCTGTGAAATCAGACTTCTTTGTTTCAGATGTTTCACTTATTTTATATGAAATGCCTAGTTCTACAGCAATCATAAGGCTGTCTCCAGCCTCGGTAAGTATTGTGCTTGGAAGTAGAAGTTAACATGTGCAATCTGAAGTGACACCTAAATCATTCGCCTCATGTTTGCTTCATATTCAGCCACTGAAATGAGTTGTAGCTTTTGTTCTTATGACAACTTACCTATGTAGTTATGAAGACAGAGGAGAACTAATGGAAGATGAATTAAATGTATATTGCTTAAGACTGAGCGTAGTCTTGATATTTTTCAGGCTCTGCATCTTGTTAAAGCTTAAGATCAGAGGCTTAGAAATCAGGAGTCCATACCATTGTTTCAGAAATGTCTTTCAAAAAAACCAACAGATTTCAAATATGAAAAGTGATCCTTTAGACGTTACTGGAAGGCAATCTAGGAGTTAAAAAGGACCTTTTACAACATGAGGAAATCCTTGTCTCATTAGACCAAATGTCTGTCTGAGCATCCCATCTCCAGCAGTGGCACATGCTATGGGAAGAAAATAAGAATTGGATGAGCACGCGGGGATGGGCAGCTCTTCAGAAAATCATAGAATTATAGATGGCCTGGGTTGAAAAGGACCACAATAATCATGTAGTTTTAACCCCCCTGCTATGTGCAGGGTCACCAACCAGCAGACCAGGCTGTCCTGAGCCACATGCAGCCTGGCTTTGAATGCCTCCAGGGATGGGGCATCCACAACCTCCTTGGGCAACCTGTTCCTGTGCATCACCACTGTGTGTGTGAAAAACTTCCTCCTAATATCTAACCTAAACCTCAGTTTAAAACCATTCCCCCTTGTCCTATCACTATGCACCCTTGTGAACAGTTGTTCCCCCTCCTGTTATACACTCTTTTCAAATATTGGAAGGCAAAAAATCCTCACAGCATTCAGTGATTTACAGTGTAGAACTTCTGTGTTTTGTATATTCGAGTGTTTTTTCTCTTGTGAATTTGTTAACTGCTTTTCACCCCTGTAAGTAGTACAACAGTGGTACATTCTCTTTTCTGGAGATGGAGAAGCTTGTCTTTACTATAGAAGACAAGGTCAAGGAAATGTCCTCTGCACTTGAGCACATCGAGGTTTGTGATGTGTTGGGTTCCCAGAGGAGCTGATAAGCCTTCAATGTATCTCTGTGGAAAAGAAAAATTATGTGTTTTCATTAAGCATCTGAGTCTAGGCTCTGTAATTTATCTTGTCACTTGTAATAGAATATGTAAGTATTCCCTTTAGAGATGCTTTCTCATATTTCACATGTGTGGAGAATTTTTTTTCCAAATTTTGTTTTCCTTTTGATTGGAAAAAGGAAATATCATACCATTTTAGAATTAATCTGCTAACAGAAGTTACATTTTAATCCAAGCCGAAGCCTGAAAATGAATATTAGTGATTGGAAAGACCTTACAAGGTTCCTTAAGATAATATGGGTGCACAGTTGTAATGGCACTGACAGGCAACAACGCACTAAGATAATTGTGCTTGTTATAACACATTCCTGTTTTAATGTTGTCAGTATTAATGTGGATTTGTGGTGTTCTGCTGCTGGACTGTTTGTCATCAAAAAACTGAAACAGAAGTTGCTTGTTATGTGGAAAAAATGAGCCTTCACTCACAAAGTTAATCCTTTCTTCTCTTTTTGTTCCCTTCCATTTTCCAATTTACTGCTATTTGTTTTTCCTTTCTTTTTGTAGCAAGCTAGCTGGGAACTCTCATCTTCCTTGAGGCAAAGAAACCTGCTTTTAATCTCAGTTGATCAGATCTTGATTCTGTTTTTTAATATATTTTACACCAAGTTTACGAGTAATGCTTGCAGGTTACTGAGGTGTGACCTAATACACATCTCCTGAAGCAAGTGCTGGGCTGTCTGGCTTCTGAAATCAGAGAACAACATAAAAGTGCACAAAACCAAATCCTTTGCAAATATTACAAGAATCTTTTATATAGATTGAGTGAAACAGAGTGGCATCTTAACTGTTGGTAGTTGTTGATGGTCAGCTTGCATAGCAAGCATGCTTTCAACAAAATTCAATAGTGGATCTTTTTTTTTTTTTTGGCCATGCAATAAAATCTTAGATATCACAAATTTCCCTTGTTTGTAGCTTTGTGCTATTCAGTAACTGGCTGCGTGGTGAGTTTGGTTTTACAGCTTGGGCCATTTCAGTAGTAATGGATTGCATGCAGCTTCCCATTTCACTGTACCGGCACGGAGGCAAAAGAAAGATAAGACCATAAATCACTGAGATTGCATACCTAGCTATGCTGTCTTCATCTCAGAGTTTTTTTTCCAGTGTGAAAAACACTAAGGTTACTGGCGTTACTTTCACCTCTGTGAGAGATTTTTCCTACATATGCATTATGTATATGCTCTCCAGTCATGCTAGTGCTTTGCTGCCAAGTCAGATCGACCTTTCTACGGTCAGATTTTGATTTTCTTAGTTGCTGTGTTGTCTGTTGTAAGCTGTGTCCTCACCATTGTAATCTTCTTGACTGTCGCCTATCCCCTCTGTATTCTACTCCTGTCACTGTCTTAAAATCACTTTGGTATCTGACATCTTATAAAGAGCTCTCAGCTCTGGAGCCTGCAGGCTTCTGATATTGCATTAAATACGACTGCTTTCCAAACAAGTGATGATACGACTAGAGATTGATTAGATAGCTACACTTTGGTACCAACTGTGGTGTTTCCCTCTTGTTCTAATATTATCAGATTCTGTTCTGTGATTGAGGCCAAAATGAGGTTTGTTCTGACCTCATCTTGCTGGATCTGTTGACATTGACTTGTCTCCTTTGCTGCAATACAATCTATTTGCTCTAACTTCTGCTGCTTTCCCTGTATTGTCAAGAACTAGTGTTATGGTGTAGACATTTAGATGCTAAGAGACTCAGTGGGAGCAATCTTCAACCGCTGAATTCATGCCAGTAATCATAGTCCATGTGAACGTGAAAAGCCACATCATACTTCACCTTAGTGAGGTATGCTTACCAGCAGTTTTTGTGTGGATCTGTAATGCAGCGTTATCTTAGGGTATTATTAGTATTCATGTGCAAAAATCTGGTATCAATCACAGCATGTATTTTATTAGAAGTAACGACAGCATCACATTTGGTAGCATCTTGTACTTTGTAGTGTTTTGTTTCTTCCTCTGTACTTGCTTTGTAGTGTTCTGAGTGCCAACTATATGATTCAGAATTTTCTTTCTCAAAAAAGAATTGCAGTCAAACATCCCAGTTGGGTTAAGGACTTTTGCCTGAAAAGGTGGGCATTATGCCTTTGAAAAAGCCCCCTTGAGCCCATATTTGAACTTATCCAATGCAAAGAAAGCTGAGTACTGAACAGTAGCTCTGGAAATACTGGCTAGCTCCTCATTCTCACCTTGATGTCAACATAGCAGGACTCCCCAGCAGTGTAAAGTTTGCTATGAAATACATACCTCCTCAGCCTCCTTCAACAATTCTGTATGCTAGATGAAAAATCATGGAGTGGGTGAGGTTATAAGGGAACTCTGGTGGTCAACTGATCCAAACATCTGCAGACAGTGAATGTTCTGCAGGATCACCAAGTGAGAAGGCCAGCTGAGTTCTGTGAGGAAGCTGTTTGGTTGTTTGGTGCTCTGTGTTCCTTCCTCCACCCACCATTTCCAAGCAATAACAGAGTGCTTTGTGTTTAATTAGGACATGAAAGTATCTGCAGATTTATGTTGGTGGTCATCTGTATTTTGTGGATTCTTTTAAGCAGGCTAACTTAGATATTTTTTAGAAAAAAGACGTTGACTCTCATGAATGTGTGTCCTTGGCCAAGTGCTTAAAGGTATTGCTGATATGTGCTCCTAATGAGTGATTGTTTTTATCTACTTGAGAATTAGTACCTTACTGGTACTGGTTGGGAATGTCTGCCCTTAAATTGTTTCTGAAAATCCTTTTAAGAATGATGTACCTAGCTGTGTGCATGTCTGATGGCAGTCATCAGTGGGAGAGGCACATTTACCTCTGCAGCAGATACACATGTATGTAGTAGGAAATTACTTTCTTAGCAAGGCACTAATCCTACAGTTTAAATCCCAGTCATGGTAGGGTTAACTCTGGTTGTTTTTTTTTTGGTTTTTTTTGGTTCAGTTTCCAGTATATGAAGTACTTGTACATTACTTACAAAAACTTTCCTATTTCAGCGACAGCTGAGGAGCTATGGAAAGGAGCTTTGGCAGAGACTGGTGTGGGAGTAAAGAAAGGAAGAGGAAAGAGAAGGAAGAAAAAGCTGAAAAAAAATCTCAACAGAGGCCAGGAGATTGGGGAAGGTAGGTTCATAAATAAAGGGTTGAAGAATGTCTCAACCTTTTCATATGCAGTGTTTTTTGGTTTAACATACTGATAAGTTGCTGTTAATTTCTGTGATGTCTAAGCAGCTTGAGGTATCTCTGTTTTCTGAAAAAATAAAAATCCTTATTTTAATACAGTTCTTTGATTTTTAAACACAAATTGTGTCACAGAAAACACTTCAAATGTGTGAGTACTTTCTATTTTATTGCACTTTTCCAATGCACAGATTTCAGTCCTTGTTTGGCATAAAACTTTTTTCCTCTTATTTTCAAGGACGTTCCGGTTTCCTCTGGCCAGGGCTTAATGCTCCTCTGATACAAAGTGGGAGAGTACAGGCACTTAGTCAACGGAAAAAAGAAGAACGAGACAGAATTCAGTCTGAGATTATTCAGCAGAGAGATACATGGGAGAAGAAAAGAAAAATAAAAATGAAGAGAGAGGGAGGATGGAGTGGAAAGTGTTGGGGAGGTGTCCTTCTGGATCCACCTGATCCAGGTCCTAATGGAGGTAAGAAGACTGGATTAATATCTTTCTTAATCTTATTAGCCTTTTTGTCAAGAGGTGGGTAAAAGGGAGGTCCAGACTTTTCCTGTGATTTGAAAATTCAGTTTGTACTTCTGTCTTGAATGCCTTTGTGTCTGTACATATGCTGATATGTTAAGACAGCTGAATCAGAGAACAAGTTGCATTTACTCAAGTAAAATCTGTTAAATCTCTGCTGTTAGATGAATGTTATGGACTGTCTGATATACTGCATTATGGAGTAGTGTGTCGTGTTACAGACTGTTATAGAGGTTTTGGAGTGTGGAAATATTTTTGTGTGTTTAGCGTCAATTGTCTTGAGTATGAAAGCCTGTGCCAGTGCCTCACCACTCTTTTGGAAAATAAATGTTTCCTAATATCCATCCTGAACCTCTCCTGGTGCAACTTCCAGGCCATTCTGTCTCGTCCTCTCACTGTTAGCTGGGAGCAAACACCGACTCCTACCTCGCCACAACCTACTTTTAGGCAGTTGTAGAAAGCAGTAGGATAACCTCTGAGCCTCCTCTTCTCCAGACTGGCTAATAGTATTGCTATGATGGAAGCTGACCTATTTTGTGATGTTTTTAACCATTTACAGCTTTTGCGTGTTGTACATTAAATACGGCGGTGATTTGTTTTCTTGATTGTTGTTTGTTTCACAGTTTTAGAGCATATTTTTCTTTAATAGTACTGTAGACTTGTTTTTCATAGCATTTCTGCAGCAGAAGAGAATGAGGAAGAATATCAGATATAATTTAATAAAAATGCTTCAATATAAATGCTGGCTTGCACTGATTTCCCAAAGAGTATTCCAGGTTTAATTTGGAAAGATTGTATAGCTTAACTTGTGCTTAAAATATTGAAGAGATTCTGAGGTCAGTTCAGGTTTTCATCAGTTCTGTTATTACTTTCTGTGTGACGTTCAAACAAAGCTGTTAAATTGATGTCTTGCTTTACCATTAAGAAAGTATTATTTTTCTTCCTGTGTCCTATGCTGATTATTTAGATTGGACAACCTTTAGAGACTGTTTGCACCTTAATTCTCTTGCAACCATAATACCTAAAAAGATAATGTATTGGTTCCAGTTGGAAGCAGGGGTACCTAATAGAGCACAATGGATGTGAGTAGGTTTTCATCTCTAATTATGGCAGGAGCTGTACTATAGTTATAACAAGAATGGTATTACGCTTTCTAGGAAGTTACCACTTGAACTGGATTTTTTTAAAGCTAGATTTCTTAATAGATGTTGATTTTTTTTTACTAAAGAAATAATAATAAAATTATGCATTATAAATAAAGAGTTGCACATTGTTTTCTCTGTTTTAAAAGAACGCATGACTGGACTCATGTTACAAAGCACAAAACCTGCTTCAAAAATAATGCCTCCTATTTCATTACATTAGCCCGTGATGTCAGAGGCAGATGGTGGTATGGCAGCAGGGTTTGAACCTTCCCACCAGTATCCCATGACAGTTGTTGCTGTGTGACAGGTGACAGCAGAGGGGCAGTCTGACACAATGGCATCTAACATGGAATTGAATCCTTCCATGCAGAAAAAGTGGCACTCATTGATGCTTGCTGAACACTTATGGAAACAAATCAGTGGATGTGAGCAGAGTGAAAGTTAGGCTGTGTGGACAATGTTCTCCTAGCAATGGTTCTGTGCAGATTGTTCTGAGTGCAGCATGCAGACTTTTGTTCATCACTGGTGAAAACGCATAGCTAGTGGTGGTGACTATGTTAAAAAATAGTATTTGGTAGCAGAGAGTTTGTTCTATCAAATATTTTGTGCCCTTTGTATCTGTTGCAGTTTCCATAGAAACAAGTAGGAGGCATTACTTTTGGAAGAACATATATTTGAGGCCTTTTTTGTAAGAAAGTAGCTAATAATCTTCGTTTTTAGATGTGTTCAAATCATTTTCTACTTACTGCTGAGATGGATTTATAAACTACAGCTACATAAAATTGCATTCTTCTTTAAATTATATTAACTGCAGGGAGTTGTGCTGATATGTAATTAATACAAGGAAATGTAATACACTACTTTTTCCCCAACAGAAACTTACGAGGATTTTGAAACAAGAGTCATTGAGGTAAGCAGTACAAAACTTTCAAGGACTTTAATTGTAATTATTTTATATTGAACTTGTAATTATTTAAGTCTTTGCTAAGGCAATGTTACAGAAGTTAGTCTGTTGTTTCAACTGCATGACATAATCTGGCATTCTGTTCATGGAAACTTCTCTGTTGAGGAAGCAATATCTGATTGGAATGAGTGGCTGTGAAATGGAAAGTGCTTGCAGATAAAGCTTTAACAGTTCCCATGCAACTGTAATACAAGCAGTGTAGATTCTAAAATACTTAATCTTTCCATTGCATGTCCTTATCATCTTTTTTCAAACATAGAGTAGCTATGTATGTGTAACTGATTGTATGTGATCCCTTGGCTGGTGTGATGTGATTATCTGGTTACTAAATCCAAATAACTGGAGATATTTGCTCACTGTTGGCGATGCTTCAGGCTAAAAGTCAAAGTCTTCAACACTGCCAATAGAAGTTGTTTTGAAGGCCCAAATTTTTCATGATGATTTTAACAGAAATGCCCTTCAGAATGTGGTCAGAGAAAGAGCTTTTTAAAAATGGTGAATTTTGTTTTGAAAACAAGATCAACTATTAGTAATAGGTTTTGAATAGTGAATTGTAAAGTGTCAGTAGTGCAAATATGTGTTGTTGCTTCTCAGTGGAGAAGCATTCCAGAAGAGACCATTAACAATTAGAACTATGCATGCTCATGCTATTGCAAGTTATTTTGTCTACCATTTATTTTATTTTCTAACTTCATACATGTTTGTTACTTTGGAAGCCGTGGAACTACTTGAAGCCCTGTTAGGGCAAGTCCTGACTTCAGAAATAAGCTCATTTCTTGTGACTCATTTGCTTTCAGTGGAACCAAATGATGCTGAGCATCCAGAAAAGGCAGTAGCTGTGGAAGTCAGAGCAGTATTTGCCCTTTATCCTTGCATTCCCTTCTCTTCTACCCATGTCCTAACTCTAGTGAGATTTGTGGTCGCTGTGGCCAGCTAATTTCCAGCTTTATCAGTGTTGTATACAGCTTGAAATCTCAATCTCTTGTAGCTTTTCTTGTCAGTTTATAAATACTTGATGTGTTAGAAAGGACTCAATATTTTGCTGAAATGACTGAACTATTAGAAAAGCAAAATTCAGCAAGGTGTAGCAAATTGGCCACTTCCAGCTGGGGGCATCAAATTGGTAAGTTTGGCCAAGTCTTTCTTGTTCATTAGCACTGATCTTACTGGTGAAGGTGAAAGAGCTGGGAGAAATTCAGTGTTTCTTTGCAGCCCTCTTTGATTGGGTTGAAATCTTAGAGCTGCTTTTGTCTCTTGGAGCCCTGAAGCCCAACTACAGGACCACAAAGCAGGGTGAATAAGAACTTGTGAGATCCTGGATTGTGCTTTTAATAAATTGAATTAAACCCTGCTATACAAATACTTGGGGGCATAAATCAATCCAGTGGCTTTGTGTTGAAAGTAATTGCATAAACTTGTTTCTTCAGAGTATTCTCATGTTGCTTACTTTAGATGAAATTGCTTATAAGATTTGTCTCAGAGTTACCATCAAAATCTTATTTGCAATTAATATTTAACTACTTTATTATTGGAAAAAGTATACATGTCTAGCTGCAGCATTGAAAAGACTGCTTTAATTTCCAACCATGATCTTAGAGCTGAGATATTAACCTGGAGCTGTGCACGTTCCCTGACAGAAACATAACAAATCTCTGCTTAAAACAAATGTCATCTTTCTATCACTGTGAAAAAGAGTGACTGTCCAATGAGTTGCTACAGAGTTTTAAATAAGAAGTGTTGACTGTTCATCACTTTACCCTTGTCATTATTACAATTTTGCTTATTAGACAGTTATGTGAAATACTGCCTGTGTTTTTAGCCAGTGTTGTGTTATACCACTGTCTAGACACGGTGTTTATACCACTCTGACTTTCAATTTCTGTTTAGTTTCACTCTGAGCATTTCATCTCCTGTTCTGCTACCAAAGCTGACTTGTGATGCCTGTTTTGGAAGGAATCATACTTTCTCTGTACCACTACCAGATACCATCCCGTATCAATCTGTATTTTAAAAACAGTTGCTATTTAAGATTAACTTTGATTTGAATGAGTGAAGTGGTAGTGGTATGTACAAGTACAGATGAAATAACACACAGTTGAAAATTAATGTGCAATCAGTTTTCTTTAGTGGAATGTTTGATCACAATTCAGTACATTCCATATGAAAATTCACAGGTAGTGTATTTATGTGGACTGAAAAAGGAGTTGCACGTATGCCAAAAAACTGATGATTTTTTCAGCAATCTTAAAACCTGTTTTCTTTATCAAAATGTAAAGCACAACTGTGTATTCTTTTTGCTGTTTGCAGGGCCCTGTTCAGCCAGTGTATCACAGTGCACACAACCATTTGCCATAACAGAGTCCGCACCGCACTGTGCCCTTCCCCCTCCCCCCATGTGCCAGTTTCAGCCCGTGCCAATGGCACATAGCTGTGTGGTTGTTGGGAGCAATGGGTGTGCGCCCAGGGCTGTGCTGTGGGTTGGACACGGCTGTCTGAGGGGCTTGCTCTTACTTGCAAATTGATTGAAGGCTGAAAGGAGTACAACGATGAATCTTTCCTCCCTTTTCATCTTGGGCACGCTGCAGGTACCTTACTAATAGTGTGTCTTTAGCCACTGAAACCCATTCCCCGTAATTTAAAGGAAGGGAAGGAATTGTCAACTGTAATCCTTCATCCTAAATGTAACAACAAAATGGATTTCACCTCTCTCATGTCTATCCACTTCCCAAGTGTCCAGCTGTCAAGGGCTTGAAAACCATTTGAAGTGTTCTGCTGTCTTGGGCCTTGCCATGTAGCTTACTGATTCTGACATTCCTTTTTCATACTTAAGTTAATGTGGAATAAGAATTGATTTTTTAGATTGTACTTCTGCTACGGTTGTTACACATAAGTGTTACTGTAACAAGCCTTGCAGGTCACAGTGTTTTCAATTAATTGAAAGGTCATATTGGAGAGTAGTGACACTTCCCAGTCAGCAGCCAGTTTGGGTTCTACATTAGGTATTTACTGAATTGGGCTGTTCTGTATCTGCGTAATTATTTACAGTTAAATACATTAAATAACAAAAAAACTGATTGCTATGCAGCACTTCCATGTGCTGTAGAAATCTTTCACTGCTTTGTTATATCTGAGTAATAAAAAAGCACTTGACAGGCAGGCTAGGGATGTGCTGTTATGACGTTGCCACGGATGTGAGAAAATAGGAATATATTTTACAGAAAAACACATCTGCAAAAATACAGGGGCTGCTCTAAAAGCAATGCCACTGATGTTACTATGTTGTGCCAGGTTATCAGAGGTTGATATTGGTGTATGGCAGTAGAGGCGGAACCTTCCTGCCAGTATTTCATTACATTTTGTTGCTATGTGACAGATGGTAGCAGAGGGGCAGTCTGACAAAAATGCCATCTAGCGTGGAAGTGCATGTGGAGCAAACATGTGGAACTGAATGCCTCCATGTGGAAAAAAAACTACACTCATTGACATTCGTTGATGCTTGCTGAACATTTATGGAGATCAAATAGTGGATGTGAGCACAGCGAATTGATGGGTGATACGTTTCAACAGTGATGATAGCAATGTGAAAGATGAGCTGTGTTCTGGATGGCCATGCAACAAGGTGTCACACCATGAAATGAAGAGCTTCCCAGTGTGCTCATTCGTGGAAATTGGCAGATTGCAAGCAGGGAGCTGTGTTTGTAGTTAGATATCAGCTTTGAAGCATTAGAAACAATTGTGGCAGTGTTACAATATGGCAAACACACAGGATCAGAAAGAACACCACATGCACCTTTTTCAGTGCCTATTTTCAGGCTGAAGGTGACAACTTCCTTGATCACATCATTATCAGTGATTCTGTTTTCCCAGAAGCCAAACAAACTATCAGCTCTGACCACCATATTGCTGATGCTGACTAAGCTGAAGGCTTGAAGTTCTCAAGTCAGGCCAGGGAAGAAGACGACCTTTTCTCTTGCAATACAATAACACCAGGCCCTATATCAATTTGAAGACCGTGGAGCACATTGCCCATGTTGGCAGGACTGCCCTACCATAGCAACTATATAGTCTGGATTTGGTGCTTTGACTTCCGTCTGTTGAGACCAGTGAAACAATACCAGGGACTGTATGTTGGTTTTGGTTTTATATTAACTTGTGCTACTTGAAGCAGGTTGCTTGGGCTACCTGTTCCACCTAATCTCAGAAAGGTGGTGTAGGGAAAGCACCTCTGGGTCCATTTGCTCCAGACCCCTGGTTCAGCAGGGCCATGCAGAGTTACTTGCCCAGGTGGTTATTGTCAAATAAATGCTTATATTTTTGTCTAAAATCACAGTGGTGGCATTAAAAAAAACATAAATAAAAAAATAAACCCTAAACAATAGCTTGTGTTATGACACCATTTATCTTGTAATATGCTCAGAATTAGAAAATGAAAGCTAGCAGTCAAAAAGGCTGGAAAGCATATAAGTTCAGTGCCCCCTTTGAATCGTTCACGAATCGTTCATCTAAGGATGAAGATATAGCACTAAATAATGTATTTTGTACCTGACAGGTATGTTTTTTCTTGTCTGACACTGAAGTTGCCAGCTGCAAGAAATCTGTCTGTAGAGGGCTTATTTTTTGTGTTCATATTTTTTCTTTTTGCCACTTCTTTCTAGTAAAGATCAATTTACTTGAAATCGTACCTGGGATTATACCTAGGCTACTGCAGCCTTTCAGGTGGCAGAATGGTTGGATTTTTCAGTCAGACAGTTGTGTCCTGCCTTTTTTTTAAACTAAAGAAACACGGGTGTTTAAATAAACAGAAAGTCAAAGACTTGATTTAAAAAAAAAAAAAAAATCAGGTTAGGCAATACATTGTTTACATAGGCCACAACGTATATGTGCTGGTACTGTCCTTAAAGCAAAAGCTACTTTCTGCAGATAAATGTACATGGATCCTTGTGTTT